CCCCCCCCAAGCCGAGATGCTTTAGGCATCCCATACACTGACCACGTCACAAATGAGGAAGTGCGCAGTAGAGTTAAACAACAACAGAGTCACTATTTAGACTTGCTGTGAATGGAAGGAAACTGAAATTGTATGGCCATGTAACAAGATTGTGAGGCCTATCCATTCTTTGGGGAACTGTGCAGGAGAGTAGAAGGAGAGGAAGGCAAAGGAAGAGGTGGACCGACAACATTGCGGAGTGGACAGGGAAATCCTTCTCCCAAACTCAGGCACTTGCAAAATACGTGAAAAGTGGAGGCACCCGACGATCCTCGTGGATTATTGGATTAGTAACAGTAACGTAACAGTAACCCCCCTGCTGGACACAAGCTAGATCATTTAGGGGCGGGGTTTGGCCTTGGCTGTCACGGCCAACTCCAGGCTGAGAGGGATACAATGTCCCGGTTGAAAGACCCCAGATACTTGATAACAATTCTTTACTTGCGTGAATCGAACTCGGGTCTTCTGCTTGCGATGGTGAAACACCAAGCATCAATGGCATCCGTTTATACATTAATATCTTCAAAGTTACTCATTGGTTGATGGGTGAATGGCACGTTTTGGTGACACATGTAAAAGTATGAGGTGGGATCCAATATAAGACCTGCACCATGTAAAGATGAATGTACAATTTATATGTTTAACCAAGAAAAATATTTCACTCTGTAACAATCTGAGTGCATACCTACCACTGTCGTTTACATATTATGCTTGTGTATGCACTAATGGTCTTCCCTACAACACGCAAAAACCATGTGCAATGTCATTTTATTCTTAGGAATGACTCTGGAAGAGCTGGAGAAAATTTTGCCCCCAACGATTGACATTGCCTGTCACAATGCTGAGGACTCTATGACCATCAGCGGCAACGCAGGCGATATAGACGCTTTCCTTGCACAACTTGAGAGCAAAAATATCTTTGCAAAGGAGGTGGACTCTCTTGGCGCCGCTTTCCACAGCAGGCTGATGCGCTATTGTGAGGGAGAGATGAGGAGACTTGCAGGCAATGTACGATATACACTGGAGCAATGCACAGTTAACACACTTGCATATATGTACAGCCTTTCAAATACACGCAAAAATACTTGTTTCAACATAGTAACATATGCCTACTGGGTTTTGTCTGTTGCTGTTGATACTGTTCTTCATGCTTCTCCTGATGTAAGCGCTCTTATGCCTGTTTCAGTTGATTTTTTTCGTTCCTTGTTAATCTGTTAGAATGTGTACTATGATCATCCATTTTCTTCATTAATTGTTGATGAAACCTTGTCTAAAGAATTCGAGCATCTGTTAAATCTAGAACCAATCCGTTAAATCTAGAATCGATGATAGAATGGAGGGGTCGGTGAGTGTGTGTGTAGATGGGTGTTGTGTGTAGGAAAGGACGACTGTGACGTGAATTGCACATATGACAGATAGTTCACTCCAAAATGACTGACATGATTTAAAGACTCTTCAGTATAGACACTATGGTATCAAAGAGATTCCGATGGGTGGCTACTTGTTGACTATATTATGGCTCTGGGTTGTGCATTGCTGCACTCTCAAGTGTTGGCAGTTGAGCCAAAATGGACTCTAGTGAATTCGAATCATGACTAAGAACAGAAAGATTATTTGCTTCACAATTGATGTTCAAAAGGCCTATCGTAGTACGGTAGAAGCCATCATATTTGTAAAAAGAAATGGATTATCTTGTACAACACAATAGGGTGCTTATGTACTTCTCGATACAGCAGATTTAGACTTGAGAACTTTGTTATTTTCGACAAGCTTGACTTCTGTTAGTCGCTGATTTTCTTTGTCTTTGTTACCAAGCACTAAAAGACCGTTATGGTGCCAATGTCATTCTCTTTGATCAAATTCAAACTCAAACACCCTGGTATCTTTGTTTCATTGTGCCTCTATATTCTTGTGCTTTTGTGCAACAGAAGCTTTCGGGCAAGCCGAGGTCTGCCAAATGGATCAGCACCTGTTACCCCCCAAGTGAATGGGACAAAGAGGAGGCCAAGCACTCTGGTCTGGAGTACTTTGTCCACAACTACCTGAATCGAGTGCGCTTCTATGACGTCATGAAATCGGTGAGAAATCCTAGTGGGAATATCGTGGGTCAGATGATAAAGTCCAAACGTTAATTGTAGTTGTTTTTTTAAATCTATGATATCGGTTGTGTATAGACAAGACATGTTTTTGTCGAATTTAAATTCTAAACGTTGAAAATAACAAGAAATAAACACAACCTAGGTATAATTGTTAAAAAAGATTGAAAAAAGTTTTTCACTACTAAAAACGGCTTTCTCTTTCGAGCTTAGTACATTGTAACAGCTTGCCAAAGGTATGTTTTGGTACAGTGACAGTATGTTCATGGTACCTGACTTGTATAATATGAACCATATGGACGGTATGAAGTTCATAAGCCTCGTGACCCTGATTGAACTGTCGCAGGCGAGAGGTCAAGGGGGGCAGGATGGGTGAGAAAAAGGGAGAACTACATTGTATGTATCTTTGCTTTCTGTTATGCTCGGATAACCAAGTCTAACGGTTGATGTTTTAATTCTAGATTAACGTCAGTCAGTTAGGTCTTCTAGTCTCTCTTGACCTCTTGGGTGGTTGTGTGAAGGAGTTATCTGGATTTTTAAAATGGCTCAACTAACAAGATGTTGCTTCTATGACATTGAAAATGTTGTGAAAACTGTTTCTGACTGTTGTTTCCTTTGGAAAGGACTGTTCTCACCACTCTAAACAAGGAAAAATCAGTGAGACTGACTGACACATTCTGTAACATATTTCTTTGGGGGGAGCACAGTGACATTTATCAAACGCAAAACAATTTTCAATCATAATATGGGGGAGCCAGGAGCCCATCTCTTGAAAAAGATTGTGGAGAACAACGCGACGAAAAAATGTCCCACCTGCTTCTGTTGGAATGACTCTGGGTTGCCATTTCCCCTGAGAACCAGAGATAGGCAGGATTCTCAATGCTGCATCTCATTCATTTGCCAATACTCATGAACTCAACTGATCTTTGTGTGTCTTCCTTCCTTAACCCCCACAGATGCCTAAGGACTCTCTAGTTATTGAGATTGCCCCCCACAGTCTGCTTCAGGGCCTTATCAAGCGTACGTTCGGCCCCGACTGTGTTTACGCGTCACTCATGAAAAAGAACAGCCCGGATAACGTCATGCACTTCTTTGAGAACCTTGGCAAGTGAGTGTCTTTGCTGTCATGTGAATCTCATCTTGTGGGCAAGATGTTAGCTTGAATGAAAAGTATAAAATATATCTCCCATGGTCCTTGTGAAGGGTGTACACACGCTAATAAGCTTCATCCTTCATTGTCACACTACGACCTCTTATGTGATCTAAATTGTGTCGGTGGGGGTAAACAAAAATTAATTTAAAAAGCTACAAGCTCTCATGCTCTATACATCTTCATGCATTTATCCACTACCGTCACTCCCCTGTATATCGACACACTTGTGGTATCTAACTATCTTACCATACTATTATTTCCCTGTAGCAGCCACTTGTCTCAGAAATGCCCACCAGTATGTACAGTAACAAATGTGTTGTACACTTACATGCATTTACCGGTAACAATCTCAATTTCCTCCTTCAGCATGTACATCAACGGCTGTGACATGCGTCCCTTGAGTATCTTCCCTGAAGTGAAGTTCCCAGTGCCCCAGAAGACTCCGCTCATCTCTCCCATGATTTCCAAACAGTGGAACCACACGGAGGTGTTCAGGTATTACACAATACAACACACAACACACAGCACAACACACTGCAAACAGCACAGTGGAGTCACTCGGATGTATTCAGGAAACACACAGCACAAAACACTACACAACACATAACATAACATACCGCGCACAACACAGTGGAGTCACATGTAGGTGTTCAGGTAACACCAAGTATAACACACAACACTCAACACAGTGGTGTTGTGTGGAGATGTTCAGGGAACACACAGTACAATACACAACACAACACATAACACAACACACAACACATAATACAACACACAACGCTCAACACAGTGGTGTTGCGTGGACATGTTCAGGTAACACACAGTACAATACACAACACAACACATAACACAACACCCAACGCATAACACGCAACACAGTGGAGTCATAGGGGTGTGTTCAAGTAGCATCCAATACAGCACACACACACACACACACACACACACACACACACACACACACACACACACACACACACACACACACACACACACACACATAAGATCTGATGTACACAACATAGGGGAGCCACGTGGATGTGTTAAAGGAATATACAATATAGTACACAACACGACACACATCATAACACACACAGTTGAGTCAAGCAGAGAATATATTCTGGTAAATCACAACAAATATGCAACTCAGATAAAGCATGTAAGTTGTAAGTGGCCAGATTAACCACACACAACACAGGAACCTCAAAAGAAGGCTTCCAACTAATCAGTTGTCTGTGTACATGAAATATACATCTGGTACCTTGAATAACAGTCCTCTGTGAACGGTACACTTAATTATTATTTCTCAAAAGAAATCAGAGCTTTTAACACTTGAAATATTAACATTTCTTCTTCTAATAACCAGCGCCCTTTGGCACGATCGGTTCGGTTTGGTGGGCGGGGCAAGCCAGGCTGGAAGAGCAGAGCGACCATAGAGGCACAAACCGATCGTCCGACTCGCAGCCTTATACGGAGTGCCCATTACGGCTGGATCGGGCCGATCGCCCGACTCGATCGCCTGAAACTGAAAACAAACACGTTTCCGTAGTGGGCACCCCGTATAACAAATAAACAATTTGTCGACCCCCAATTGGCACTCCGTATAAAGTACGACTGTTGTAGTGTCCAAAAGAAATGCTAAAATTATACTTTTTGTCCAGTGCCTGTGAGGTCATTTTACCTAAGTGGATGGTTTGCGGGTGCTCTTGTGTGGTTTGCTCCTTCTTTCCTACCAAACAGCCTTTGTCCTTATCTCTTCTATTTCTTTTTTATGTTTGTCATCCTCTTGTAACATCTCTAATCTCCAGCACTTTTATGGCCTAATTGTGTTGCAAGTGCCGTAAAACTCTTTCTAGAGCAAAAACCCCCCCAACACTTTCAATGTTTCTTCCCCAGAATTCCACACATCAACGACATTTCCGGCAATGGGAGCGACGCCTCTGAAACTGTGTTTGACTTAACAGAAGATGGAGATGCCAGATACTTGTTTGGACATGGGGTGGGTTCATGTGATACCAATGAAAATAGTTTTAACAAACTATACAGTAGGGTTCAGGGTATAGTTGTAAACACATGCCTAAATAATCAGGCTGTGCTAAAATAATAATAATAATAATAATAATAATAATAAC